CAAGATACTCAGGGGAAAAAAAAATTCCATCAGCTCCTTTTAGATAAATGGTGTTCCGCTTCTATAGAGGGAGTGTTTTCAGGACTCAAGCAGAGAAGAGCCTGAAAACTAGGCGAAAGGCCAGAAAGCACTGGTGGTCAGATAACGCATTCAAACTGGATGAAGGTCAGAGTACAAAGGCTGAGACCCTGAATCTCATTCAATGAATAAATATTTATTGAGCACCTACTATACACTAAGTAACTGCTCAGAAAGGGGAAACCAAAAGAAGGCAAAGGTCTGCTTTCAGTTAACCTAAGATGGTGGCAATAAAATAATTTATTGAGCTCTTCATAAGCCAGATAATGTTCTGAGTACAGTAATTTAACTCAATCATCACAACCACCATATAAGGGAGATTTTTTTTCCCAAGCTGGTGTGATTTTTTTTTAAACTTTTTTTTATTGAGTTATAGTCATTTTACAATGTTGTGTCAAGTTCCAGTGTAGAGTACAATTTTTCAGTTATACATGAACATACATACATTCATTGTCACATTCTGTTTCGCTGTGAGCCCCCACAAGATCCTGTATATATTTCCCTATGCTTACACAGTACAATCTTGTTGGTGTGACTGTTTTTTTACTGAATTGTTTTTGAAGCATAGCTGATGTACAGTGTTATATTTTAACAGGTATACAGTATAGTGATTCACAATTTTTGAAGGTTATACTTCATTTATAGTTATTATAAAGTATCAGCTATATTCCCAGTGTTATACAATATATCCTTATAGCTTACTTTTTACATAATAGTTTCTAGCTTTTAATCCTTTACCCCTATTTTGCCCCTCCTCCCTTCCCTCTCCCCACTGGCAACCACTAGTTTGTTCTCTATACCTGCGTGTGAGTCTGCTTCTTTTTTTGTTTTGTTCATTAGTTTGTTATATTTTTTAAATTCCACACATATCACACAGCATTTGTCCTTCTTTGACTTATTTCAGTTAACATAATACCCTCCAAGTCCATCCATGTTGCTGCAAGTAGTAAAATTTCATTTTTATGGCTAAGTAGTATTCCACTGTGTGTGTGTGGTGTGTGTGTGTGTGTGTATCACATCATCTTTATCTGTTCATCTGTTGATGGATACTTAGGTTGCTTGAATACCTTGGCTATTGTAAACAATGCTGCTTATGAACATTGGAGTACATGTATCTTTTTGAATTAGTATTTTTGTTTCTTTCAGATATATACCCAGGAGTGGAATTGCTGAGTCATGTTGTAGTTCTATTTTTAGTTTTTTGAGAAACTTCCATACTATCTTCCATAGTGGCTACACCAATTTACATTCCCACCAACAGTGTACAAGGGTCCCTTTTCTCCACATCCTTGCCAGCATTTATCATTTGTGGTCTTTTAATGAAAGCCATTTCGACAGGTGTGAGGTGACATTGTGATTTTGATTTGTATTTCCCTGATAATTAGTGATATTGAGCATCTTTTCATATGCCTGTTGACCATCTCCATTTCCTCTTTGGAAAAATTGTGGGAGCCCATGAAAGGGTTAATAAATTGTAACAGACCCCAGCCGCTTGTGACCTTTAGGAAAAACAAATGTGCTTTGCTATCAGGTGCTGGTGCATCTGCACTCCTGTCTCCTTGCTGTAAAAAGCAGAGACAATGCCTTGCTTGCATAGTTGAGGTTCTAGCTTAGGGCTGCTTCCAATGGCAAAGCCATTTTGTGTCCCTTGCTATAAACAAAGGACATGGCTTGTTTTAAGCATAGGTCCATAGTTTAGGGTTTACTCTTCTTGTTGCAAAGACCTTTGCCCTCAGCTATAAACACTGGGCATGATTTCTGCTGTTTAAATAGTCTGTAATGCCCAAGGCAAGGAATTGGCTGGTCTGGTTGTCTGTTTTGTAATCAACATCTTATGTCTGAAGAGTGTACCTTGTTCCCCTCTCCCCATGTCTGTCCTGAAGATTAGTTAAGCCTTTGTACTCATTGTGGATTCTATAATCTCTACAGGGTTCTGTCTTTCCTTAAGCTTCTACATCCCATGACACAACTATTGGTGATTTTTCCTTTGATTGTGTATAATAAATGTGGGAGCATTTGAGAGGCTCGTGAAGCTGATCCCTGACTCCCTCTCGCTCTCTTGACTTTCCACAGAGTCTCGATTAATTCATTCTGTCTTAGTGGGACTTCTGCCAGACAGAACCCACAAAAAAAAGTGTATTCAGTTCTCCCCATTTTTTAATTGGGTTGTTTGATTTTTGATGTTGACCTGTTTATGCATGTTGGCTATTAACCCCTTATGGGTCATATCATTTGCAAATATCTTCTCCCATTCAGTAGATTGTTTTTTCATTTTGTCAATGGTTTCCTTTGCTGTGCAAAAACTTTTCAGTTTAATTAGGTTCCATTTATTTATTTTTACTTTTGTTTCCTTAGCTTTAGGAGACGAATCAGAAAAAAATATTGGTGTGATTTATGTCAAAGAATGTTCGGTGTAACAAGAATGTGCTAATTTCATTCTTTTACAAGTAGCTGTCCAGTTTTCCCAGCACCACTTATTGAAGACTGTCTTTTCTCCATTGTATATTCTTGCCTCTTTTTTCATAGATTAATTGACCATAAGTGTGTAGGTTTATTTCTGGACTTTCTATCCTGTTCCATTGATCTATGTGTCTGTTTTTGTGCCAGTACCACACTGTTTTGACTACCGTAGTATTGTAGTATAGTCTGAAGTCAGGGCATGTGATTCAGCTCTGTTGTCAAGACTGTTTTGGCCCTTCAGGGTCTTTTGTGTTTCTGTACAAATTTTAAGATTATTTGTTCTAGTTCTGGGAAAAAAGGCATTTTTATACAGATTGTATTGAATCTGTAGATTGTCTTGGGTTGTATGGCCATTTTAACAATATTAATTCTTCCAGTCCAAGAACATGGTATATCTTTCCATCTGTTTTTGTCATCTTCAGTTTCTTTCATCAGTGTCTTATAGTTTCCCAAATGCAGGCCTTTTTACCTCCTTCGGTAGGTTTACTCCTAAGTAGCTTATTGTTTTTGCTGCAGTGCAAAATGAGGGAGATGTTGATACTCCATGTCTTCACTGCAGAATAAATTACTAAGACAGTGATTCTTGAAATAGTTTGTGTACAGTGAGATGAACAGTAATTGCTATGGTGTGAGTAAAGTCCTTCTTTGATTCCACATTTTTTTTTTAAGGGGGAGGTAATTAGGTTTTTTAATTTAGTCTTAGAGGAGGTGCTGGGGATTAAACCCAGGACCTAGTGTATGCTAAGCATGCGCTCCACCACTTGAGCTATATCCTCCCTGCTGATTCCACTTTCTATTCAATGAACAAGCAAGACTTTTGAACCACAAGCACACGTAGGGAAAGTTATCAAGTTAGATTATATTTCCTCTCCCAAATAATAGAGCAATATTTATATTTATAGAAGACTGATCCCTTGTACTTATTGTAATGTATTAGAAACTGTGCCAAAAGAGAGAGAGGAAAGAGAGAAACAAACAAACAAACGGTGCCTTAACACATTTTTTCCCCTAGTCCGATGTTGGTTACTTTTTAAATGCTGGCCCAGAGGAGTTACAAAAGAGGAGGACGCCTTTTCTTCCAATCTCGGACTTGTTCATTGAAGTAAATTTACACAATACCCGATCACCCAAAGAGGAACAATCCAATGGAACAAACATACTCCGGCTCAATAAAAGCCATAATCTGTAGACCCCAAAATCCGCTTTCTGAGTTTCTGTATGATTCCTGCCCCGAATTAACTCTCCCTGTGAAAGCCAGACTTGAAAATCCCGTTGTTCTAGTTTACTTTGGCTCGAATCCGCTATACAAAGAGCGTTTTAAAATACTGCAAACTATTATAAACTATTACAAGTCCTATGAAGTAACTCGCACTGGGAAAAGGACTACGCAGAAACAGGAAAGCACTCACAAGCCCCTGTACCTTGGAGGCAGTCGGGAAGAGCAAACGTTTGGGGCGGGGCTTGAGCGGGCCCTCCCTCGCTCCCGCAGGTGATCTGAAATTGCCTACCGCCTCCTACCCCGGGGCCGTTTGTTCTTGGGATAGGAACTGGCACCTCTCCAGGCGGCAAGCGGCCGTCCGCTTCCCCTGCCTCCCCGGAGGCCCTGACCCCGC